TCGGTTTTAACAGTTCATAATACACTACGCCGAGCTGGTCCCACCAAATACAGAGCATGACCTTGGACGTCAAAATCACCGTTCTTGAAGCGTTGAAACCACTCACGACACGTTCTTTCACTAATAGCGGTCTCACCATAAGTATTTGAGAGCAATCGATGAGCCTCAGCCGCAGATTTCTTCATATTGAAGCAAAAAATTAAAACCTCCCGCAAATGACGAGAATTTGGCTCGTCTGACATTTTCAATCGAGAATAACTTTATGATGCAGATACAAATCGACGAATGTTTCTATGGGGTTATGTTGACAGATGCCCAAGTTTATTGTATGACGTCTATGATTTATTTATTTCGACCACCACTTACCGCTAAAACCATCTATAGGAAAACGGCGGAAGCAAAGTTGTACACTTAATATATATTATATATAAACGAATATTTCGATTTATATTCAAATCACTCTCAGTGACACTGATAATACATAATAAAAAATTAATTAATTTCAATTTGATGCTCAAAATGTCCTGACTAAGAAATAATCAAAGCGCGTATGTACGTCAGTGTCCCACTTCGTACTTGAATTGTATCTTGTTTACGTACTTTGATTGTAAACTTCAATTAAAATAGTTTTTATTATTTATTCTTCAAGTCAGCGAGGACTGGTTTGAATAAGCAAAAACGTTTATTTAAAGTCCAATTGCATCACATTATTTTGATTTTAAGTAAAAAATTAAAATTCTCACTTTTTCTTTTTAAAGCCGAGAGAAAAGAAGAGATAGAAATAGTTTTAATCGCTTAAATTCAAAGTAATATTAGTGTTTGAGATTTTTAATTAAATTCTTCAATTAAATTTTTTTAATTAAATTGATTGTCTAGCGATATTTTTACTTTTGTGCACTTTTTCTCTCGTTCCCATAGTTCTCTTTAAGTTTTTTTATATTTTATTTATAGGAAATTTTTTTAGTGATATTTAATTGGTTTAATTACATTACTTAATTTTACTCAATATTTTGTTAAATAATTTATGTGTGTGATGAAAGCGTATTCTAAAACGGTTATAAATTACAAGAGAATTTTTATTATGTATACCTGATATCCTAGAAGACTTAAGAGAAGTACAGTCAATGCAATTTGTATGAAAAGAGGTAAACTGTATATTGATTCCACAATGGCAATAAATCTAATATAATATATAGAAATATATTTTTTAATTTGTTATTCTTGTTTATACAAAGATGAAATATAAAATATCTTAAGGCATACTCACTGCAATACTTCTGTGTGTCTACGAATACTGTACACGATATTCACATAAGATTTATCTTCTGTGAATATTACTGTCAATCTTTCATTTTCGAAAACTAATGCGGTTTCCAATCGATATCTAAACTCAAAAACTTTTAGAAACTATCATTTTTTTAAATACATATCCCCACAACAAATAAACTGTCTCATTATTTATGTTGAACTCAAATATTATAGAATTTGTGTACTTAAATCATAATCACTCATTAGGCTCACCTCAAAGCTGCAAACAAACCACAGCAATATTCGACCATCGTTAAATACAGAACATCGATTACAGTTAATAAAAACATGTACATAAACTCGCATATACTACAATGTATGAAAATTGGAACGTAATATGTGTCCAAATCAATCATGGAATTAATGCGAAAAGGTAGTCCTCTTTGCACGTTATTTGATGTTTCATCAGTCTCCTCAGATTTCACGTACAAAACTCTTGACAGTAATGTCGCAAGCAAATAAAGAACACTATGGCTTAGTAAAAAACCTAATTTGCACACAAATTTTCGTGATTCACTGTTATTGTCAAAAAGATTATAGTATTTAAGAGAATACAATCAATGGTGCCCATCCGATTTTAGTGAATCTTTACTATTCTGTAGACAAAAATAAAAAATGTGTATTTTTTTAATTCTGTTGAGTCGCACATTAAAGGAGTAGAAACTTCCCTTAAGAAAAATCGATCTTTTTCTTTCGAAACGAATATTTTCGAACTATAAGAAATAGAAAAAATTTTCCAGAATGAAAATTGAATGACTTCAAGAATATTTTAGAACTATAAAAAAAATTTTTTTTTAATTATTTATTTGTTGTATAGCCACATTTATTTTCAAAAATTTTTTTCATTTTTTTTCATTTTCGAAAATTAAAAAGCATTGTACGCTGAAAATAACGATGTGTATTAAAATTACATTTCGAAAAGTCACTTTTCAGAACGAAATCGTCTCCATATACGCGCTCCGTGGACACTCCGTTCGTCTCATACCACGTTGACTCCGCAAAATAGCGATGAAGGCAAATACACACAATTCTTCAATGCAATACAGCAATAACTAGCAAACTATTAAAATAAATTTTTACATAATTTACATTAGTAATAATAATAACAATAATAATAATAGTATCATAACAATAGTGACTCTGTTAAATTGCTAAAATTCTTTTAAAAGTTAAATACTTTTAATGATAAAGATATAAAAGAATTTATGAAATATTTTGAACAATTAAAATCAAAGCATAAATAAAGAACGTTTATAAAATTTATTTATTTCATTTTCATTGTAGCAGCTAATTTCAGTGTTCAATTAACATGAATAATGTTTTAATAAGAAATAATATAAGAAAAAAGGGTCTATTAATTTATAAAACTAAAAATAAATATAGAATTACGAGCCAAGCCAGATCTTAATGCTATGATAGTTATAAAAACAAAAATTTATTATCACAACTCTGAATATTGTCTAAAGATATAATTTACGAAAGATTGCATAAATAAAATTTTATTTTGCTTCGAAAGAAAAAGATCGATTTTTTCAAGGAAGGTTTTTCACTCCTTTAAAGTGCGACTTAATAGATATAAAAAAATACGTATCTCCTATTTTTGTAGAACATAGAACAGCATTAATGCAGCACTAAAAGCTCATTTAAATTGGAAGGGGGATTGTTTATTGTATTCTCTGTTAGATGTTTTATAAATTATTAGATATTTTATAAATTTTCAAAGTTAAAATATTTTCATATTTAAAGATATACTATAATATGCTGAGTGTATTTCAAAATAATTTAAGAAATGTAATTTACATATAATATGCTTAAAATTTAATTTTGTTGCAGAAAACTATTGTATACGATAATACTATTAAAGTCACACATACCCGTATAAGCGTAGCCTAACTTTCGCCCATGCTGCGCGTGCAAATTTTGTATCTTAGTTTCCTCGTCCGACTTTGGAGAAAGACAATATTCTTGCATCTTTAATAGAAGTATTTTTATCTATTTCTCGTTAAATATGAAACATAATTTTTCATTATCGAATTTATTATTATCATTTTTTAATTTTTGTATAAACATTTTTATTTACGCACCTTTGGTAATGTATGTATCGCACATAATATTTTACTCATCATTAATATAGCGTAAAATAACAATGGTAAATTATCGATCACCTCGAAGAAATTGTGTCTGACCTCGATTATACCCGACAGCTATATTTTTCGTTGATTTTATTTCGCACATGTCATATAACAAATAATTTTAATTGAATCCAATCATAATTTGATTTATATTTGATTTAATTTAATTATGTCAATTTTATATTTGATGAAACAGTATAAATAAGGCATAAAGATAATTAATCTTTCAAATTTTTTGAAAGAGCGCAATAAAAATTTGCAATAATACATGTATATAGTACTCTTTTAAAATATGCGTTTATTTTCAACTCACCTCTAATATAAATGCAGATCCAAATATCAGCATCAAAATGGTATATATCGTATAACGCCTACGTCGCTTATGAAAAGGCCATAGACCACTAATATTTAGTAGTAGTCGAATGATGTTATAATGCGAATTCTGAAAGAACTGATCAATATCATCCATTCTGTATTTTACTTCTTGCCGTTATTATTACAGAAGCGAAATTCAGTTACCGTAAGCTATAGATCATGTTGGTCTCCCATTGAGAAGTCTGTTTAATATTTGATTGTCGTGAAATCTAAAATATATTGCGAATATATTTGCTAACGCTGTAAAAAGCAAAACTGCACAGTGTAAAGTCGCAAGATTATCTTATAGAAATTACATAATTATAGAGAAGAGGATCAATCATACTGAAAATATTTTCTTAGTGGATTCAACACAGACGAAAGAGGTATAAAAATTTTATTCGTAAATTGATTTAATATCAGACTATTATGAGAAGAAGTAGTCGCTTCAAAATCGGCTGCATTAGAAAATAACAGTCTTATGGAGTACAAGCTTATCAAAGGTCTATTGTATTGTATATTACTATTGTCGAGAGTTTCCTATACTTATGTTTTATTAAAGATAAATAAAACGGAGATGGTTTACCAAAAAGATAAAAAAATACAAATATAAATACATTTTCGTATTTAATAATTTTTCAGAAATATAGATGATTTACCGTTAGTTAATAAATTTTATATTTATTATTTATTGTTTTTGTATTAATAACAATTTTATATTTTTTAGAAGAAAAATTTAGAAAATTTTAAATTACAGTATGTAAAACTGTGAAATATGAAGCGGATGCACGTACGACCTAAAAAAAAAAGATATATCAAAAATATTAATAAAAAAAGCATCATATAAATGTCATAGTCTGTTCTTAATTCAAAACTGTAATTTAAGATGTTAATGCCTTTATAATTGGCTTGTGACATTTTAAAAAAAGACTTGTACTTAAAACTGTTTTCAATATAAGAATCGTCTATGAACAGAAAATTATAATTAAAAGAAAATTATATCAAGTTTTACCACGCTGAAACTCGGAAAAAAAAGAATCATAATTTTTCCAACAGTCAATGTACAAGTTAAAATACTTCTCAGCATTATCATATTCAAAAGCTTTCTAGATTTGGGCGATGATTCATACCATTCACCTCGGTAACTTATATCAAAAACTTTCTCATTTTATGTATCACAAATAGAAAATATTTAGAGAAGCTATTTTGTTTTGTACAGAATATTTGCACGATGTGTATTAAGTTTATTAGCTATTAACTAAATATGCTTTCACTTACATCGATGTGTACGCGATTGCTATGATTGATTACTTGCTCCTCACCAGGACACGATATATAAATGCAGTAATTGAGCGATAATATATAAGACATGCTGGATTGCAAGATGAGTTGATGGTCCTACTTGTTGCCTAAATATTCAAAAAATTGTGCAATATATGTTATCACATTATTATAATATATATAGATATTTTTAAAAATATTTAACGTTATTACAATGTGTCAAAAACAAACCTGTAAAGCCGACACTCATCGTCAATATTAAACCGATTTCGAAGAAAAAAGCTTTTGTAAATAGCATCCAAGCACCTCGCGCATCTTATTTAATGAATGAGTTTGATAATTAGGTTTTATTAACTTTTTCTTTAAAGTACATAAATAAAAAAGTCTTATATTTCTTGCAGTTATGTAGAGGTATACATTAACCGTAAGAAGTCTTTGTGTTTTTGTATATAATATGTGAAGTTTTTGTAAAATTTATCATCTTCCTTGAGCAAAGCGAGTTCCTTATTTTATCTAGATGGACTTTCGTACTCTAATCGATATCTATGAATCAGACTCGGCCGTGTATCTGCTAAAAACTCTCCCTGAAAATCATTGCGTCCTTGACACATGCGAGAGGGCAGAATCACTTATCGATATTACGTCAGGGCGCGATAAAAATGATCTAATGACTTTTTTCATGTGTATATTATTCTCAAATTATATTAATAGAATAATAAATAGAATAATGACAAATAAATAATGATAAATAAATAATTGAACTAGTAATTGAACGATAATATATACAGCATGCTGAATCGCAATTGTTGAATGCTTGTAATTAAACTTAATTACATATTAAAAAAAATTAAAATTTCAAGGCAAATGAGTGTAAGGCGCAGTAATTGATGAGTAGATTCAATCATAAAACAAAATTATGACAAATTCTTACACAGATGTGTTAAAAAATAAGATACCCAAATATGTATTCAAATTGTGTTAAAATTCGAATTCTTTATTACATATAAATGCTATCTAATGATTTTTTATCATGTGTGAATTATTTTCAAGTTATATTAATAGAATAATAAATATTATTGATAAAGTAAATTAATATAAAGAAAAAAGTTTAAGTTTCTTTTTATTAATATTTATTTTAATTATAGTATATTAATTAAAGTATATTAATTTAAGTATATTAATCAGTAGCGATGTCATATGCCTCTGCGCTTGAAAGTAATTGATGTTAATATAAATATAGCTAACATTTTTTTACAATTTCCTTATTTTTTCTTCATCTTCAAATAATACAATTTTATTATTTAAAGGGGCACACCTAGAAGTGAAAAAATCGTTTCTTCTTTACATATTTTTACAGTATAATATCTTAAGAATCTTTTTGTAGAGTTATAAATCAATCCGGCGAAAAATAGAGAAGTTATACACAGCGCGCGCTAAAATTAAAAACGAGTAGATTCGAGCGCGTTGAAAACGACAGGTAGAGGCGCGTCTGCAATAGGACGTTCAAGTTCGCGCAAGTTAAAAAAGAGTCTTTCTCTAATCATTACATTTATCAATTACAAACCTCAGAGTTGCATTTAAAAATACAAATGTTGATTGAATCTTATCTGGACGAACAACTGAAAAGGTTGCAACATTAGCAACTAAAAGTATAAACTGAATGTAAAGCTTTAAACGTGTTTTTCTCAAAATATAGTTTTCAAAGCGCGTGACCACTGTATCTTGAAGACGGCTCAACTGACCGATTTACAATTTTACACACTTTTTCTACATAATAAAAATTATTCTTGACATAGGATTTTTTCCTACGTTAGTAGTTAGTTTTTTAGTTTTTTTCACAGCCAAAAATGAGCAAAACTTTTCGTAAAAAATCATTATCTTTGACCAGATGCTATTTTATTCAAACGCAATATTTTAAAAAACAACGTCAAGCATCTATGTTTTAATTTTATAAAACTTGTGTCATTTTGCTTTTGATGAGTCTTGTGCAGCAATGGTCACCGCAAATCCCGTTTTACAAAACATGTACGACAATTTGAATAGCGACTCCATTTTGTATTATTTTTACAACTACAATTTTAACGGTAAAAAAATAAACAAAGATATGATCTTTATCAATGGAATAAACACTTCTCTATCTCTATCCATAAAAAAGTAAAGTTAAGCCTCGTTCTGACTAAGTGTATATGCCTCCTTAATTTTCTACGAAAAACGTTATAAAAAAAAGAAACATAGTCCTATAAATGTACGTTCTTAACAATCTCATTTTTGTCTATTAATAAAATTTAATAAAATTTAATTTGTCATTAATAAAATTTAATGAATAATAATACGTAAATGTAAATATCATTAATTAGGTTTAAAATTGTTATTGCAGAGACCGTAATAACATAAAATATGATGATGATAAACGTAACACCTAAAACAAAATTAAAAATTTTGTTTTTATAGAATCATTGAACGTATACATGCTATAAAATCATTACACTTACCGCATTAAAAGTTACACATGACAATACAATAACTTTGCCCAGTTTCAGTGTCGATGGTTTTTCACTTCTCATCATTATCATTATAAGAAGTTTTCTTGCTGCTACTGGCATATTGTACCACTTTGTATTATATCTGCAAATTTTACAAGAAATTTATTAGAAATTATATCAGGTATTTATCTACTTGCTATTTCATAACATTTTTATCAATTAATATGACATATAATTTACAAATGTGTTACTTTATTATTGTACAAAACGTACGCTGATTTAAACACTTTCTCACTGGAATCTACAATTTTCTGACCCTGCCAATTTTCGAACAATACATTAAGCAAAAGTCCATTTAAATAAACATAATTATTTATATCTCCGCTAACGTTTTCCATGTTGTTTACTATCTGTTAATCAAAACGTAATCAAACGTAAATAATAAGTGTAGTTAATTTAGTTAAATTAAAATATAAAAATATTCAAAGAGATGACTATGAAAGCAAGCGCGGTAAAAAGTACAACGCGTAAAAACATCATTAGACAACATTAATTTAATTAAAAAATTAAATTATACATATATAACGACTGTTTCGGCTTATATGCAAGCCACCCTCAGTGACGCAGACAATACATAATAAAAAATTAATTTATTTCAATTTGATGCTCAAAATGTCCTGATCAAGAAATAATCAAAGTGCGTATGTACGTCAGTGTCCCACTTCGCACTTGGGTTGTATCTTGTTTACGTACTTTGTATTGATTATAAGATTTAATTCAAATATTTTTTATTATTTATTGTTTAAGCCAGTGAGAAGTGATTTGAATAAGCAAAAACGTTTATTCAAGGTTCGATTGCCACCAATATTATTTTAATTTTAAACTTAAAATTCTTACTTTTCCTTTTTAAAACCGAGAAAAAGGAAGAGATAGAAATAGTTTTAAGCATCGCTTAAATTCAAAGTAATGTTGATATTTGAGATTTTAAATTAAATTCTTCTATTAAATTTTTTTAATTAAATTGATTGTCTAGCGATATTTTTATTTTTGTGCACTTTTTATCTCGTTCCCGTAGCTCCCTTTAAGTTTTATATTTTATTTACTGGAAATTTTTTTAGTGATATTTAATTGGTTTAATTAAATTACAATCAATATTTTGTTAAATAATTTATGTGCGTGATGATGGAAGCATATTCTAGAACTATTATTAATTACAAGAAAATTTTTATTATTTATGTGTACCTGATATCCTAGGAGACTTAAAAGAAGTACAGTCAATGCAATTTGTATAAAAAGAGGTAAGCTGTATATTGATTCCACAATGGCAATAAATCTATAAATAATATAAAATCTAGAAATATATTTTTTAATTTGTTATTGTCTTGGTTATACAAAAGATGAAATATAAAACGTCTTAACGTACTCACTGCAATGCTTCTGTGTGTCTACGAATACTATACACGATATTCACATAAGATTTATCTTTTGTCAACATTATTGTCAATCTTTCGTTTTCGAAAACTAATGCGGTTTCCAATCGATATCTAAAACTCAAAAACTTTTAGAAACTACAATTTTTGAAATACGTATTCCCACAACAAATAAATTGTCTCATTATTTATATTGAACTCAAATATTATAGAATTTGTGTACTTAATTTATAATCCTTCATTAGGCTCACCTCAAAGCTGCAAACAAACCACAGCAATATTCGACCATCGTTAAATACAAAACATCGATTACAGTTAATAAAAACATGTACATAAACTCGCATATACTACAATATATGAAAATTGGAACGTAATACGTGTCCAAATCAATCATGGAATTAATGCGAAAAGGTAGTCCTCTTTGCACGTTATTTGAAGTTTCATCAGTCTCCTCGGATTTCACGTACAAAACTCTTGACAGTAATGTCGATAGCAAATAAAGAATACTATGGCCTAGTAAAAGACCTAATTTGCACACAAATTTTCGTGATTTACTATTATTGTCAAAAAGATTATAGTACTTAAGAGAATATAACGAACGGTCTCTGTCCGAAATGAGCTTTTATTATTCTATAGACAAAAATAGAAGATATTTTTTTATATCTGTTGAATCGCATTTTAAAGGGTGGTAACCTTCCTTGAAAAAAATTGATCTTTTTCTTTAGAACCGAATATCTTTGAAACTATAAGAAATAGAAAAAACTTTCCAGAATGAAAATTGAATGACTTCAAGAGTATTTTAGAACTATATATAAAAAGAACTATATAAAAAAATTTTTTTTTTAATTATTTATTTGTGTACTCCCATCCCCACATTTATTTTCAAAAATTTTTTTATTTTTATATGTCGAAAATTAAAAAGCATTTTACATTGAAAATAACGATGTGTATTAAAATTATGTTCCAAAAAATCATTTTTCAGATATGAACGAAATCGTCTCCATATACGCGCTTTGTATGCATTCGTTTCATACCGCAATGGATGCGCGAAATAGCGATGAAGGCAAATACTACACAGTGTAGTATCAGTACAGTAATAACTATTGAAATAAATTTTTTACATAATATTATTAATAATAATAATAATAATATTAGTAATAATAATAATAGTAGCACAACAATAATGACTCTGTTAAATTGCTAAAATTAGTCAAATACTTTTGAAGATATATAAAAGAATGTACAAAATATTTTGAACAATTAAAAACAAAACATAAGTGAAGAACATTTATAAAATTTATTTATTTCACTTTCATTGTAGCAGCTACTTTTAATGTTCAATGTTAACAATAATGTTTTAATAAGAAATAATATAAGAAAAAAGCTTAAATAATTTATAAAATTAAAAATAAATATAGATTTTAATGCTATGATATTATAAAGAAAAAGTTTATTATCACTCTGAATATGAAAATAATTCTGAATATGAAAAATATAATTTACAAAAGATTACAAAAGATTGTATAAATAAAATTTTATTTTGCTTCGAAAGAAAAAGATCGATTTTTTCCAAGGGAAGTTTTCCTTTAAGGTGCGACTCAATAGATATAAAAAAATACGTATCTCATGTTTTTGTCCAGAGAACATCATATTAAAAGCTCATTTAAATCGCAAGGGGATCGTGTTCCCTGATAGATATTTTATAAATTATTAGATATTTTATAAATTTTCCAAGTTAAAATATTCATATTTAAAGATACTATAATATGCTGTCTTTCAAAATGACTTAAGAAATGTAATTTATATATAATATGCATAAAATTTAATTTTGTTGCAGTATGTTATTGAACCCGATAATACTACAATATTAAAGTCATACACACCCGTATAAGCGTAGCCTAACTTTCGCCCATGCTGCGCGTGAAAATTCTGTATCTTAGTTTCCTCATCCGACTTTGGAGAAAGCCAATATTCTTGCATCTTTAGTAGAAGTATTTTTATCTATTTTTCATAAAAAGATTTAAATATGAAACATAACTTTTCATTATATATCGAACTTATTATTATTATTTTTTAATTTTTGTATAAAACATTTTTATTTACGCACTTTTGGTAATGTATGTATCGCACATAATATTTTGCTCATGATCCATATAGCGAAAAATAACAACGGTAAATTATCGATCACCTCGAAGAAATTGTGTCTAACCTCAATTATACCCGACAGCTGCATTTTTCGTGGATTTTATTTCGCACATGTCATATAACAAATAATTTTAGTTGAATCCAATCATAATTTATATTTGATTTAATTTAATTATGTCAATTTTATATTTGATGAAACAATATAAATAAGGCATAAAGATATTTAATCTTCCAAATTTTTTGAAACATAATGCAATAAAAAATTGTAATAATACATGTATACAGTACCCTTTTAAAATATACATTTATTTTCAACTCACTTCTAATATAAATGCAGATCCGAATATCAGCATCAAAATGGTATATATCATGTAACGCCTACTTCGCGTATGGAAAGGCCATAGACCACTAATATTTAGTAGTAGTCGAATGATGTTATAATGCGAATTCTGAAAGAACTGATCAATATCACTCATTCTGTCTTTTGCTTCTTGCCGTTATTATTACAGAAGCGAAATTCAGTCACCGTAAGATATAGATCATGTCGGTCTCCCATTGAGAAGTCTGTTTAATGTTTGATTGTCGTGAAATCTAAAATATTGCGAACATATTTGCTAACATGCTATGTTGCAAAAAGCAAAACTGCACAGTGTAAAGTCGCAAGATTATCTTATAGAAATTACATAATTATAGAGAAGAGGATCAATCATACTGAAAATATTTTCTTAGTAGATTCAACACAGACAAAAGAGGTATAAAAATTTTATTCGTAAATTGATTTAATATCAGACTTATGAGAAGAAGTAGTCGCTTCAAAATCGGCTGCATTAGAAAATAACAGTCTTATGGAGTAC